GGAAGGAAGGAAGGAAGGAAGGAAGGAAGGAAGGAAGGAAGGAAGGAAGGAAGGAAGGAAGGAAGGGAGAAAGGAAGGGAGAAAGGAAGGAAGGGAGAAAAGAACCAAGGAACTTTATTTTGCTCCAGATTAAAGGAGACTAAAGAGGCATGACAACTAAATGCAATACTGAGGGTGCCAAAAAATGTATATACATTCTAAGAGATGTTAGTTTAAAATGTATATGCATTTTAAGATAACATCTTAAAATGCGTATACATTTTTTTTTTTTTTGGTGTGTGTGATTTTGGACCAGGGAGGCTGAGGTGGGAGGGGGCATTACTTTTCCTATAAAGAAGATTAGGACAGTTGATGAAATGTGAATAGGTATGTGAATTTGTAGATTATAGTATTGTACCAATGTTCATTCATGCTTTTGAGCACTGTACAGTGGTTATGTGGGAGAATGTTCTTGGCAAATGCACACTGAAGTATTTAGAGGTAAAGAGACATCATGTTGGCCTCTTACTCTCATCCATTTCAGGAAAAATATTTAAACATAGGAAGAATGATAAAGTAAATGTGGTAAAGCACCAGCATTTGGGAAATCTTACACAAGGGAATCTTTGTGCTATTTTGCAATTTTTTCTGTTTAGTCTGACACTTTTTCAAAATAAAAAATAAAGAGAAAGAAAAAGGAACTTGGTTGCACTCAAATAAAAACAAATCATGAGCTGTAAACTATGAAAGAATGATTCCAAGAGCCCCACATAGAAATGTACGTCATTACTGTGTAGCCCAACACCTTGGCAGGAAACCCAGGTGGTTTGGAGCTGGTGACTGCTTTTCAAAGTCACAGAGCCCTGATGACAGATCTGCTGTGAAGTTAGCCTGGCTGACCCTCACATAGGCTGTGGGTATCTCTGAAATGGAAATGCCAGGGCCTGGTACTCAGTAAGTGCTCCAGAATCTTGGTAGACTCAATGGCTAATTCTTTAAAAGTTTTCTCCCACCATAGCAGTGAGAGGATAAGATCTTTGAGAGCAACAGCACACTATGCTGTGTGCGGTTAACCCATTGCCTAGCACATGGCTGACACTCAGACAATGTCCTGGTTTATAGGACATATTTACATTTTGTGAAAATTAGTTTTCCTAGGTCAAAAATGAGGACATGGAACTGAATGGACAACTCAACAGGCACAATATTTAAGAAAGGCAGGTGTGTCAGAGTGGGTGCTTCCCTATGTTTGGCAAATAGACTATTAGTGCCAAGAAACAGTTTAATGCGAGTTTTCCTGTCTGGACCTTGATTGAAATGGTGAGTCAGGGCAGTTAATCAAAAGAAACTTGTTTTCTACAGGAAAAGACTAATAAAAATAGCAAAAATATACAAGGCACTTACTCTTAGACAGGCACTGTGCATCATCCTATTTAATTCCCAGAACAACCTAGTGAGATAAGCACTATTGCTGTGATTTTACAGATGGACAAACCAAGGAACAGAAAGGCCAAGAGACTTCCTCAAGGTCACACAGCTAGCTGATGGCAAACCAGAATTTAAACCCACATGTGCTCAGTTCCAGAGTCTGAGCCCTTCACCAGTACACCCACGAGGCTGCCCTCTGAGCACCTATTTCAGAGAAACATCAAAAGACCCAGGTTTCCTACTCAATTCACTCATTTACTCAATAAATATTTGCTGAAAGTTTTTATGGGCCAACCATTGTGCTAGGCACTGACAGTAAAGCAAAGAACAAGACAGACAAGCTCTGTATGCAGCTCACACTGCACTAGGGGAGATAAACCAAGAGTGAAAACAATATACAAGGGGATTTCACAGTATGAGAAGTACTGCAAAGGCCAAGCGATGTGATGGAGAATAACCAGGTGGGGTAGCCCTACCTTGGGAGGGTTCTGAGATGCTGGAGATGTTTGAAAGAAAACCTGAGAGAGGAAAGAGACCCGATGATGCATAGATCCAGGGGGAGTGCTCCAGGTAGAACAAAAGCAAGAAGTAAGTCTCCCAGGCAAGAAATAGCTTGGCTTATTCAACAAACAAGGATGGTAGAACAGGCCAATGGAGACAGGTATGAGGGGCTTGGAGAGGCAGGTAAATGGCTAGCTCCTATAGGGACTTGTGAGTTTTATTCCAAATGGAACGGGCAGCCATTCGTGCTTTTTTAAACCAGGAAGTGATATAATCCAGTCTACATGAAATATCTTTCTGATTGCTGTGGGCCAGAGCAGAGGGTAGGAGGGTCAAGACTTGAAACAGGGGGACTAGTTTAAACAAGAGGTGATGGGGGCTTGGACTGCAGCAGCGGCAATGAGAATGAAGAAATCAACAAATTCACGTTTGGGGCTTGAGCAACTGGGATATTATAGCATGGGATGAAAATACTGGTATCATTTTCTGAGATGGGGAAGACTAAAAAAGTAATAGTTTGGGCCAGAGGGAGGGAATACGGGAAGTTTGAAATGTTCTGTTTTGGACACAGTATGTTTGAAATCCCCGTTAGAGCCACAGCGGGGTTTTCAAGAAGCCAACTGAATAATGGGATCCGGAGCGCAGGGTGGGATTCAGCTCAAAAATGTACATTTGGATGCAAAGAGAAAGGGCGTGATTTCTCAGAAATAAAGGGGCGGGTCCTGGTGCTGGGGGGAGACCTTCGACTGAGGCCTCATCTCTGAGTACTTTTGTACACTAGGGTGAAAGGAAGTGAAAGGAAACGTGCAGGAAGCTTTGAAGATGTGGCAAGATGAGCATGTTTTGCTCTGGTGTGTTTCTCCAGGAAGCATCAGCTGCAGGGGCACAGGTATGAAAGAGCCTAAGATGGAGGAGAGGGTCCAGGTGAGAAGGAAAGGAGATGTAAGCACCTTAACAGCCTTTGTAAGGGAGTGATACTCATGGACAGAGGTATCTAAGCTGGGTACAGGAAGCACTGAAGGCAGGTGGGGATAGCTGGGAAATGTGGTGAGGTCAGTAAAAGAGAGGTCTGTGCGAAGTCAAAGATCTACAGCTGGAGAGAGCTGAACCAGTGCTTCCAAAGTATAACTGATGTGCATATGAATTATTTAGGGGTCTTGTTACGATGCAAATTTGGATTCAGTAGCTCCAGGGAGGGGCCTGAGAGCCTGCATTTCTCACAAGCTCCCAGGAGATGTCCCGGTTGTTGGACTTGGAGTAGTCAAGACCAACTATCACTAAATCCTTACATGACTTTGGCTTAGTCACTAGCTTGACTTAGCACCAATTTCCTCACCTGTAAAATGAAAGCCAAACTGATCATAGATAAGGTCCTTCTTACCTCTAACATTCTTATTCTAAGGCGAAGTAAAAGAAAAAAAGCACACTTAAATTAAACTAATCTGAGTAAATGACTATCTTCTGAAAGAAGTAATATGTTCACAATATAAGTGCCAGATACTGTCCTGGGTCTCTTTTTCCTGTATTTCACCCATTCCAAGATGTTTATTATTTTTTTTTCACTTTCAAATGTCTCTAAAACAGACGAGTCTTCAAAAAAATTGATGGCATCTTAGATCAGAGAAATACGATAGCATTTGTTAGTTCATTTTACACTACATACATGGAAAATTTGTCTTATAAAACCTACTTGGTTGGTCAAATTTTGTAATTGCAGTTACAGAGCTACACTTTATCGCAATCCACATTCAGAACTCTCTGAAGTCCGGCTGACCTTATGCTATTGTAGAATCATTGCCAATGAGGTCACCAAGAACTTGGTGGCAACGAAAACTAAGAACTGAGATTTTTTTCTTTTTAAAGAATAGCAAAATCCCTAAGTAAAACATCAAACCTCAAACAAACTGGTATTAGAGAAGTAGCCTCATCACTCACATGAATCTCATTCACAGAGCAGAACACTCCAGGAAATGAAATAACCCTTTTAGAAATAAAAGGAGGGTGAATTACATATGTTCTTTAACAAACTGGGGAAATGATGAAATGATAAGGAGAACTTAAGGAATTAAAAAATCTGTGTTACAGAAAATGAAAACTATATAAGAATGATAGCTGTCTAAATGTTAAATTTTTTTTAAAAAATAGCATTTATAACAGTCCCCCAAGTAAGGCTGAACTGAAATGCCACAGGTCTAGAGGCAGGAATGGAGGGATACACCAAGGCATAAATTAAGGGAAAACCTAAACCTGAACCACACAATCAGTGGTATAGCTGTTGGGTCTTTGGAAAAGTTCTGATGCATGTTTGCAACAGATGGCACTAGTTCATTTTTGGAAGTACTAGAGTCATTCACGTCTATGTTATTGCTATGCCATTTGACAGCTGACAGTTCTAACTTCATTCTAAAAAAAACTGAGCAATTTGGTTGAGTTTTGGAGATTTTACAAGTTGAAGATGGAAGACCAAACTGTTTATTTTCGCCATATTTTACAGTTTTACTTCCATAAAGGGAAGAACGTGCGTCAAGCTCGTGAAAAGTTGCATAAAGTTTACGGTGACAATGCTCTACAAGAACATCAGTGCCAACAATGGTTCACAAAATTTCATGCTGGTGATTTTGATCTCAAAGACACTCCTCAGTTAGGGAGGGCCACCGAGGTTGATGATGACAAAATAAAGGCATTGATTGAGTCAAACCCATGTTACATGACACGAGAGATTGCAGAAACATTGAACATCCATCATTCAAGTGTTCATAATTACGTGAAGAAGCTGGGATATGTAAGCAAGCTCGATATTTGGGTTCTGCATGAACTCAAAGAAGTTCATTTGATGGCGCACATAAACATCTGTGATATGCTCATTAAATGTGAGGAAAACGATCCTTTTTTGAAGCAGCTGATAGCTCGTGATGAGAAGTGGATTGTTTATAACAATGTGGTGTGCAAACGGTCTTGGTCCCAACCTGATGATTCGCCTCAAATGACATCAAAAGTAGGCATTCATCTCAGTGTGGTGGAATTTTAAAGGTGTCGTGTTTTTCGAGCTCCTACCAAGGAACCAAACAATCAATTCAAATGTGTACCATCAGCAATTGGACAGTTTGAACGAATCCATCATCCAGAAACACCCAGAGCTTGTTAATTGTAAAGGAGTTGTGTTCCATCACAACAACGCAAGACCTCGCATGAGTCTGATCACCCATCAAAAATGATTGGAGCTTGGATGGGATGTGTTGCCACACCCACCATACTCGCCTGACCTTGCACCGTCAGACTTGCAGTTGTTTCACTCTCTTCAAAACTCCTTGCATGGTATAACGTTCAATTCAGATGAGGCTGTAAATCAGCACCTTGTTCAGTTTTTTGCAAATAAAGACAGNCTACTGTTATGAATCGTAATGTAAATATCTTTTTGTTTTCTGATGGTCTTAGGCGACCCCTGTGAAAGGGTCGTTCGACCCCCAAAGGGGTCATGACCCACAGGTTGAGAACCACTGGTTTTAAAACTTTAGAGAAGTATTTTAGGGGTTTTCCGGCAGGGGTGGTAGTGTTGGAAATGAGACCTTGAGTGCTAGGGTTAGTGGAGGTTTAGTTATAGCTCATAGGTATAGAAATGAGGCCTACAGAATTAATTCTTGAACGTCTGGTTTGGACCTGGTGATATTTTTAGATTACACAGAATGTGACTTGTGTTCGGAGATGCTCCTGTGTATTTTATTTCATCAGCAATCTACACTTTCAGTTCTCAAGTTATTTGCCTGTAAATTCTTTGGGTTTCGTAATGGGTTTCGTTTTGTGAAGGTCACTCCAGGGCAGTTAATCATGCTCTTCTCTGCCAGAGACATTCTTCCTTACCACAAGCCACAATTTATAATTACTTTTATTTCTTTGTTTACTTGTTTTTCTATCTCTTTCTCTAGGCTGTAAGCTTCCACTGTACCTCTAGAGCATGGTGATGGCTGGTGCACAGTAGGGACTCATTAGTATTTATTGATTGCTATTGAATAAAACACTCTTCTGAATTGCTAAAAGACAGTTACACACAACTTTTAATCCAACATTCAGTTTTACTTCTCCATAAACATGAAGGAGGAGGGGAGAAGAGGGATGGGAGGGAGGAAGGAGAAAGAGAAAAGAAGAAAAAGAAAGAAAAGAGGGAGGGAAAGAGGGAGTGAGAGAGGGAGGGAGGGAGGGAGGAAGGAAGGAAAGAGCAAGCATGAAAACATGAAAGCGAGCAGGCAGGTTTCTCTCCCACAAAAGTGAACAGTCTTTCTACTGCATATGCTGCCTCCCAAAATAAAAGCAGCAACAACTGATCCTTTGCAGACTGGCCTTCATATCAAGGGCGGGCGGAGGGGGGGGGTGTCTCTGCTTCTTGGAGGTTTGAAAGTATTTGCTATATTTGCAAAGATCCTCTTTTGAAAGTGGGAAAAACATTATAAACACGTAAAACAAGTACCATAAACTTTTTGTAAAAACTGTTTTAGAAGAGGAAGAGGTCAAAACCAATTTTGAAAACTTCCCTTTCAACCCAGAAACTTAAAAAAATGGAAGGGGCTTGCTTCCTTCAGAAGTAATGGTCTCTGGATCCACAATGCTATAAAGTGTCATTAAACTGTTTTGAAAACAACAGCATCTAACTCATCTGTTGGCTGGTGTGTTTTACACTCTATGTCTACAAAAGGGAGGAGAGAAAAACAATAAACACTGGCTTAGTAAAATAGACACTTGCCGTATTCTGAAAGATGTAACAGTCTGGTAGCTCTCGGGAAAGAATCGTCTGTAGATCAATGCCTCTGAGGTGAAAGGAGATTTCAACTTGTAAGAGCCTGAATCAAAAAACGTTACAAGGTATAAATTGTCATAGTCTTACTATCTACTTTCCTTTCCGCATCCCTGTCTGCTGCGCAATGAGGAGGAAAACTTATTTACCTGTAAAATTCCAGTCTGAAGAATGGTGAGCTTTTCCAGTCTTGAGGGCTGGAGAGGGCCTGGAGGTCTAAGTGCATACAATCTAGGACAAAGAAATACAACAATTGTTTCAGGCAAGAATCACATGCTAAAACGAGTGGGCAAAAGTGTGATGAGAAGCAAGATACTTCCAAAGTATCTCCCCACTGAATACGTACGAATTACAACAGGAAGACCGGTCACTTTACAGTGGAGAATCTGGCAGGTAGCACCCTGCCCAAATGATCAAAGTTAACATGACCAGTCACAAGATAAAGAGACATCATGAGCCTCCTGAAATAATGTACCGTTTGTGTGGTATTCCTGCTGAAATGTCTCAAATCTAGTCATAAAGAAACAGAAAAACCCCAAAGTGAGGGAATCCTACTCTTTAAAAATGTCAAGGTCATAAAATTAGGAAAAGAAGGTAAGAAAGAAAGAAAGAAAGAAAGAAAGAAAGAAAGAAAGAAAGAAAGAAAGAAAGAAAGAAAG